AATTTTTTAGTAAGGGTCTACAGGGTCTCACTATGTAGAACAGACTCATAGTGATCCGCCTGTGTTCAGCCTCCCAAAGAGCTGGGATTACAGGCGCGTGCCACCACACCATCTCAAGGGTGAAATTTTTGCTCTGCAATGTTTTTTATAAATTTGTTTTTAGTGCCTTTTTGGTTGTTTAAAAATGTATTAGTACAGGGTCTACTTACTATACAGATCGGATTTGTAGTGATCCTCCTGTTTTCAGCCTCCATCTTAAAAGTAAAAATAGCAATAGCAATCAAGACACTCAAATACATAGGAATAATACTAACAAGAAACATGTAGGGCCGACCAGATAGCTCTAAGCCTTCCAGGACCGTTTCTTCCAGGTAAGGGAAGCCCGTGGTTTGGGAGCCCATTCTCTCAGATGTCCTCCAGCCTCAGGCATCCTCACATTTGTTTCTTAGAGCAAGGGTCCCATCTAAAGTCTCCTGCCTGTCCCTGAAATAGTGCTGGTGGGAAAGGGGACAGAACCCATGCCAGCATCTCATGTCACCTGTGCTAATATCTAATCTGCACTACAGCCCTTCCCACACTTTTCTCCGGGTCTTTAATGGGCCCAGGGAGGAACTGCAGTCTAAACCCTCAGCTTTGCCCCTGCAACCTAAAACCTCCACGCCACTTTCTTAACCTCTGTTCTGTGGGACCTGTGAGGGATTTGGACACCTAAAAAACAGAGAAACTTTTTTTTTTTTTTGTAGAACCGGGGATTGAACTCAGGCCCTTGCACTTGCCAGGGAAGCACTTATTCCACTGAGCCATCTCCCCGGCCCCTAAGAAACAGTTTTGCTCAAAGCATGTACCAGATATTCTCAGGGGGATTCCAACTCAAAGGTTGAGGATCATTGCTTTGCAGGACTCTCATTCTTGCATCAGTGTCCAGTAGTGATGAAAGAAATAGAAATTAGGAATTAGAGAAATAATACATCAGGGAGCAACATGGGGAGCCCTGGGATGACACCAGAATACTTTGGGTCCACAGTTCTTTTAGCCTAGGTGGGACCATGACTGACATGGAAGAGAGGAAGAGGAAGGAAGGTGGGATGAGGTGACCTCAAGAAGCCTCTGTAGGGGCAGGCAGAAGGTGAACACAGTCAGTGAACGCAGAGAGCTCATGAGTTGTTTCCCCATACTGGAAATGCCTGAGCAGTTGCCTAAGAAGTTGATAAATTTAGGACCTAGAAAATGAACTAGAAAATCGGAAGCTTGCTTTTTAAATCAGAGGATATCCATTGCCAGGAGACAGGCCTTTCCTTTCAGTCTATCAGGTCCTTTTCTGCTCTGGTTCACCCATCCCTATGGCAGAGGCAGTCAGGATATTGGGAGGGGGTGGAGAAGAAAGAGGACAAATGAACAACTTCCTGACTCGGGTGCATTAGGGAAGGTAAAGGAAGATGAGGCTCAACAGCTGGTGCTCCCTTCCATAGAAAGCTCAGAAGGGGGGCATGGAAGATGTCACCTTTGTCATAGATCATCCTGCAACTGAGAGGTCTTGGGTGGAGTGAGTATGGCAGTAAGGTAGAAACAGATGGGAGTTTGGGCCAGCCAGATAGCTCAGCGGATTAAAGCTCCAGTTAAGGCAAATGCAGGGACTAGGGTTCCATCCCTGGTATGCAGTGCTAGCCCTGACTCCAGGGCATGCTGAGAAGGTGATTGAGACTGGGTGTGGTGGCTCCCACCTGTAATCCCAGTGCTTGGGAGGCTGAAAACAGGAAGGACCACTATGAGTCTGGTCTGTATAGTGAGACCCTGTAGACCCTGTACTAAGTACATTAAAAAAAAAAAAAAAAAGAAACATGGGGTTTCAATCAGACAATGCTGAGCTCAAGTGAATGCTCCTTATTAACTAGTTCTATGCACTCAAGCAGCGGAATCTATTTGACCTTCGGTTCCATCAGCTCAGTTGCCTGCCTGTCTTCTAGGGTTGATGTGAGGATTAAATAAGAAAGCATGCATAAAGCCGCTTGGCATAGGCTAGTCCTTCCAAATGTGTCCTCCTCTCAGCGCATCTCCACCCCACCCCAGGCAGAGCCTTTGTTGAATTGTCCCCTACCGTGTGGTACCATCACAGCTATGGTAAGGGACTAGCTTGCTGAGGATGAGACCAACCTTGGAAGTACTACGCACATTGACCTTGTTCCATTAGCAGGCTTTACCTGTTGGAGGTGTCCTGGGAGAAGGTGAAAGGATGGTGTGGAGATTAACCCTGCAGGTACCTCTGTGAGGTGTGAACGTTTCTGGGGGAGACTTCATCCACCAGAGAGGCCCTAGCCTGTGTCCAGGATCAATCATAGTATCTGGAGCTGTATGGTCCAGTACAGTAGCCACTGGGCATATGTGGCTCCTAGACACTGTGTGACTGGGGAGTAGAAATATACATTTATTTAATTTTAATTAATTTAAAATTGAGAACTTGATTCATTTATTGGAAAATTTTTAACTGGAACAACTTGAATGCGTGACTTTTTCAAAGATGACTTTTATGAAATCTAAATATAGATATTTGTGGTAAAAATTTAGTGACTGAATTGAGGTGCCTTATAAGTGTAAAATATACTATCGATATCAAAGACCAAGTATAAAATAATGTTAAATATGTTATTACTGATTTTTATATGGGCACAGTGAAATGATAATAGCTTGGGTAATAAATGTAGTATTAAAACTAAACCTGCTTAATTTTTATTTTATTTCATGGAGCCACTATAAATTTGAAATTAGGCATGTGACAAATTTTCTTCCTCTTGCCTATGTGTGTTCCAGCAGCACCTCCCTCTGCCAGATACTTTACTGTGCCAGTCGCCCGGGGCCCCAGCAGTGCTGTTTCCGCCCTTATCTGCATTGCAGAGAGAGGGCAAGTAGAGTGAGGCCCGCTGGTGCCCAGCTCCCAGGTCCCAACCTAATAAGCTGCTGGGCAGAAGAAGAGAGAGAGCCAGGTAGGAGGCTGCTGGTTGCTGAGCGAGTGTGCAGGGGGCTATGGGCTCAGGCCTGCCACTCCTCAACAAAGTCACTTTCTCCAGGCTCCCATTCACCTCTGCCCCACTGAAGAGCTTTGCCTCCTCAGTGGCACCAGCTGCCCTCCCCTGTCAGGCCCAATTTGAGCTGGTGCTCGTGTAATGAACAGGCTCTCCTCAGAGCAAGGACAGTGACAGCAACTAGAGAGCTCGAGATGCCTGCATGAGGTTTGGCACGGGTGGGCGGGGACTCCACAAGGATGTGGGGCAGAGGCTGCTGCAGAAGGCTCCCGGAGCAATCGCGTGATGCTCCACTGTCTGTCCCTCCTCTCGCTCCTCTCTGTCCTCTTCTACTCCTAGTGTTCTGCTGATGCTGAGGCTGTTGCCCTGTCCCTTCAATTCCCAGCATCTGTATTTGTTCCAGTTCCCAGCTCTGCTTTGTCCTCTGAGGCACACTCCATCGTACTCAGCAGTTCTACCACTCATTCCCCTTCTCCGTCTGGGTGATGTCTGTCCAGAGGCAGCTTCCCACGAGGACTCTGCTAAACACAGCGGGGGCGGAGTTGCTGCAGAGGGCAGTGGGAAGAAGCCAGGCAGACTGTGCCCACTCCTCCTTTTCCTCCTCTTTCACTACATACAGCTTGCTTGGCCACCTTCCCCTCCTCCTCCAAGCTGGGTCTCCCTCCTCCTAGGGATGCAGTTTGTTGCATTTACTAGTTGTTATCCAGGAGATTCCTTCCGGTCCCCCAGGGAACTAGGGGTCTCTGGAAGAGGAGTGACTAGAAATATAAAAGAAGGGAAGGAGCTAGGGGTCCTAGGCTGGGATTTTGGCATAGGCATCCCTTGGAAAGTAGAGCAATCTCTCCTCAGTTCCGGAAAAGGAAAGTTAAAAGGGAAATAACTGTGACTAAAACAGGTGGGCAGCATGGGTCTCTACCTTCACTGGCAGGCTGGGCTAGGCAGAGGCAAGCTCACCAAGATACTCATCAATGGGCTGCATAAAGGGGAGAAAGGAATAAACTGAGGTAAAGAAAGTTCCAGAGATCCTATTTTATCTTGTTTGTGACTGTGGTGGCCTTTTGGCAGCAGGTTTAATGATCAGACAGGAAGGTGGTAGAGGTTCATGCAGACAGCGCCAGAGTGTGGTCTGCCCTCCCCACCCCACACGTGCACGCTTTTCTCCTTAGCCTGAGGACCCCTGGCTCTAGTTCCTTGCCCCTTGAGGCTGGGGCTGGGCTAGTGGGGGGACAGCAGTAAGGAAGGGGAGACTGTGTGGGTGAGGAGTCAATTCCATTAAGCAGCGGTTCTTTCTGGCCTCACCTCTGAAATAATCTCATGGCTGGGGTTGGCAGATGGTATTGGTTATTAAAGTTGTAAGTGTGTGAGGAAAGCCTGGTGGTTAGAATAGCAGACTGGAACCTTGGTCACGGTTCATATGTGGCATGTATGTGTTGGAGGGGTGGTTCAGGGAAGGCTGGGCTAATTACAGGTCTGTATCTGCAACTCCCTGGGATGCTCAAAAAAGAGATGACGGTGTCACCCTCAGACAGCAAAAGCACAGGGCAGCAGTCCTTCCACTGGCGTCTCCAAATGCTGGCACGGTGCAGAGGCAGATGCGTGAGATCTGTGCTGCTCCGGACAAGTCTGGCCCAAAGCAGCTTTGTTTCTGCCTTCTCCCTTCTGCCTGGAGTGGACTTTGCTGGGTCCTCAGGGTGGCAGGAAGGTTAGAAGAGCTTGGCAGTGACCCGGTTACCCCCGGAGTTCTTATCCCCAGAGGGCCGAGGTGCCACAAAGTCAAAGGTCATGTGGTGTTTGACCCGGCCCTTGCCCTTGCTCCAGAGGGCAATCAGCCCAAAGCAGAGGGTCACTGAGGTAAGAAAGGGGAGGAAGCCAACTGCTAGCACCATAGCCACACCCCTGCTGTCCAGAAAGAAAGGCCCTGGGATCCCCGGCATGGTGATATTGGGGTCAGAGACTGTGCCATTCGGTGGTTCCACTTGGGTTACTTCCAGCCAGGTCCTTAGGGAGTCATTCCCAGCTACATTGCTGACCACACAGACATAGGCCCCCTGGTCCTGTAGCTGCACTGAGCGGATCTCCAGTGTCCCATTCTCGAGGACCCTGACTCTCCCAGCCCTTCCCAGCCAAGGCCCCTGAGGCCTCATCCAGGAGATGGTAGGGGCTGGGTCTCCATCTCCAGAGCAGGAGAAAATGGCATGTCCCCCCTCCTCCACAATGACCCACCGAGGCCCAGACGTTTGGATCAGGGCCGGTTTGCAAGTAAAGTGCCCTGGAGGCAGGATGTCTGAAAACTCCCTCAGGTTCTTCCCCTGGACATGCTGGGGGCCAGCGCAGGCAGGAGGCGATGTGCCAAAGTCCAGGTGGTGGCGCAGTCGAAGCAGCCACAGGAGGCGGCAGTCACAAGTTAGGGGGTTGCCAGACAACCTAAGGGTGACCAGTTTATCTGGCGAAGGGAAAGCTGTTTCCTCTAGTGTCTGAAGGGAGTTGTCCGCCACATCCAGGAGGTGGAAGGCAGTCAAGCCGTGGAAGGCGTGGGCAGCAATGGAGGTGAGGCCCGCCCCCGACAGCCGGAGCTCTTGAAGCCGCACCAGAGGGCTAAGCCTTCTGGCTGGGATGGCTGAGATTGGGTTCTGAGATAGATCCAGGACCCTGAGGAAGCTCAGGTGGTACAGAGCCTGGAAGGGCACTGAGCTCAGGTTGCAGTGAGTGATGGCCAGGCTGCTTAGATTGAGCCCAGACAAGCTCCCTGGGTCCAAAGCTTCCAGAGACGGCCAGTGGTGGATCTCCAGCTCTTTCAGCTGCCCCAGCCCCTGCAGTGCCCCAGCAGGCAGCCTCTCAATATCCAGTTCTCGGAGCCTAAGGGCCATGAGTGCTGGGAGGCGGGCAAGGGCAAGGCCAGGCACCATGCTGAGGTTGCAGCTCTCCAGAGTGAGGGTGTTCAGCTGCGCCAGCCCTGCAAAGGCCCCGGGAGCCACAAACACTAGGTGGTTGTCCCCGACCTCTAGCTGCCGGAGGCTGCCTAGCTCACTGAAAGCTCCATCCAGAAAGAGGACAATCTGGTTGAAGCGGAGGTCCAGCAGAGTGAGGGCGGACAAGCCTGAGAAGACCCCAGGCCCCATGATGCGGAGTCGATTGCCCTGGAGTCTCAGTGTGAGTAGGCTTTGTAGGCCATGGAAGGCTCCGGGCTCAAGTGTGGAGAGCTGGTTGTAGCTGAGGTCCAGTTCCTGGAGCAGGCCCAGTCGAGAGAGCATACCCCGCTGAAGCCCCCACAGGCGGTTCCCACTCAGGTCCAGGAGTTCAGTGTCCAGCGGGAGTCCCCCAGGGACAGCCTCCAGCCTCCTGTGGGCACAGAGCACTGCTCGGGGTTGGGAGGTGCAGTCACACACAGCAGGGCAACTGGTACTGCCCCCTCCAGGCAGGAGAAGCAGGCAAAGGAGGGGAAGCCATGGGGGCCAGGCTTGCTTTGGTGCTTTGGCCACATCCATCCCCACTTGAGTCCTGGAATAGATGATGACATGGCCCTTTTTGGAGAGTGGCTTCAGAAGATGACCCTGGACTTCCCTGGCCCTCCTTAGAGAGAGAGGAATTGTCTGTCTCTATAGGTCTATTATTGGCCAGGAGGGCATAAAACCAGGAAGCATTCTGGTGTGCCACCACTCTGGGGGTTTCTGGGGCTCCTCTTTAAGGAATCTCTCCTTTCCTTCCCTCTCCCAGTCCTGGATAACTGGTTCTGTGCTCATGGAACCCTAGTCAAACTGATTTCTGTGGAGAAAGTTTTATAGAAATATATCAGGGGGCAGCAGGGAAGGAACTCTACACCTTAATTGGGTTTTTCCTGGGTCTGTGAGATCCAGAAATATCTTGGGTCCACTTGCCTTCATAGCAACTTTCCCCAAGCGCTGCTCTGTTCCTCTTGGTCCATCTTTGTCTCCTTCTCCCCACCCCCACAGTTTTTGCTAAGGCCCAGGGAGGTCACATCCTTGGCCAGAGCGCTTTATAGTGACAGAAACAGTTCCTCACCTTGACTAAGTCACCAGTGGCTGAGGAACAGACAGGCCTCAGCTCTACCCCCAGTCACTGCCCTCCTTCAGCCTGGCCCAGGTCCGAGCTCTGGACCAGCAGATCCAGTGTCCCTAGAGGACCTGTGTGGACAACAGCCCAGGGGCACAGTAGCCACAGCTCAAGGTACAGAGAGTGTGCTTGATGGGGAAGCTGGGATTCCCTTACGGAAAACCGAAGCTCTTCCCTCCACCCCTGTGCATGGAGTTGGAGTATGAGGGGAATCCAGAAAGGGAGTCTGGGTGCCCACGTTTTTATTTCTGTTTCTCAGATCTGTCTTGAGTCTATCCTAACCCTAACCTAATCCTATCCTTAATGGTGTGCTGCTGCTAGTCTATGTGGGAGGCTGAGAGTGAGCACTTGCCCCCTTTGCCCTGTGCTGCATGCAGGAGCAATGTGTGAGGCAGATTGTGACCAGGGAAGGGAGAGGAGACAACATCTGACCAGACACTGTGGAGTAGCATGGCAGGCAACTGGCCCGGGCAGTGTACGGAGCCTGCTGAGTACCCAGGCCTGGGCAATATTAGGAGGTTGGTGACCATGATGACTGACCACTGCAGACTTGGCTGAGGTGATAGAGAAGGGACCTTTTCTGGTGAGGGCCCCTCAGTTTGTCCTGGTGTTGCACCTCGGATGTGACAGGGAACCCATGGGAGAAGAAGTACTGGAGTGGGCAAGGGCAGGCACAGAAATGGGAATGAAGACTGGTGTTTCTGGAGACAGCACCTCAGGCACCTAGCTGTCCCTGCAGCTAGGGGTCCTGACTGGTCCTGGGCTTGGGGGTCTCAGGCTTTCTGGGTCCTACTTCCTCCCTGGTCCCTGGTGAAAGATAAGAGAAGCAGTTTATGAGGTGGTGTGACTTCTGCTTCATCTACCCTTCCTTCTGGGTGATCTCTGGAGAGGCTGTCCTCGAGTTACTACGGAGAACTAGAAGGAGGCCAACAGAGGGGTGCAGGAAGACACCCTGAGAAATGAAGGCCAGGGGCAAAGGCTGCCCTTGTTCTGACCTAACAGGTATCTCCGCATGCCCAGAGTTCTCCAGGGAGAGCAGCTCCCAGCCTCCCTCCTGCTCCCTGGGCCTGTTCTGGGAAGTCCACCTGACAGCTAGCTCTTCATCACAGCTGCTGCAGTTCCTACTCATCCTCTCTGCTCTGCGCTCAGCAGAAGTGCAGTGAAGCGTGTAAGGCGGCTTCCTTTCCTCCCACTCCTATGAGTTTCCTCTTAGTTGCCGGAGCCTGCTGGGCCAGGGACTGGGGGACCGAGGGTCCATCTCTCTTTATTTATAAAGTGGCTAATTTAATCACAAGGCTTCCCTTGCCAACCTTTGTGGCTACATAACTGGCTTCCGGCCACTTTGCAGGGACAGCTAGGTGCCAGAGCCACTTCTTTCTCTCCTTCAGAGGTGGGGTCTGGGACATCACCCTTTCAAGGGAGGGATGCTTCCTCCTTGCCTCTATGTGACAAGTCCAGAGAAACAAGGGAACACCGGAGCACTCTTTATACACACCTGGTTGAGGAACTGTGTGAGGAACCGTGCCCTGGGGGAGGATCTCTGGAATATCCCACAGACTGGGGAAAAAAACCTCCCTAGAAGTAGAGGGAGTACTGGGGAGAAGAGAGGGGAGGGCTTCTTGGAGTCCTCCCACCTAAGGCCACCTGGGGCATTTTAGTCACACCCCTCAAAGTCTTGTGGGGCTGGGATTAACGGGGATCTGGGGTGGGGTGGAGTCGGGTGGGGAGTGGAGTGCAGCTGCCTCTTTCATTGATAGGGACACTGGTCTGGCTTTGTCTCTGAGAATATTACGGAAAAGGGCAGCTGCGGCTTTGGGACAGAGAGTAGGGCACTTACCAGAGGAGCTGGAGGGTGACATCAAGTTGGCCACTGCATCTGTCCAGGGCTGAGGACCCTGTCCCATTCGAGCAGGTCCTCGGCCCCTGCACCTCCCCTCTGTGCCTCAGTCCCCACGGCCCGCTGTCCCCCTGCCTGCCGCCAGCCGCTGCTGTTGCTGCTGCTTCTGCTGCTGTGACCGTTGCTGCCAAGACTGAGGGAGAGAAAAGAGCCAGGAAGCATATCTCTCTCTCTCTCTCTCTCTCTCTCTCTCTCTCTCTCTCTCTCTCTCTCTCTCTCCCTCCCTCCCTCCCTCCTTCCCTCCCTCCCTGTCTGTCTCTCTTTTTAAACCAGGCGAGAATGAGACTGCAGCAATCCTGTTGGTGCAAAATAAATAAATAAAGCACCAGGAGGGCTGCAGCAAGTGCCACGATGGGGGGGGCAGCGAGGAGGGTGGCAATGCGGGAGGGGTCTGCAGTAGAGGCTGCATCTGCGGTAGAGGCTGCAGCAGGGGAATCTATGAGGGTCTCTCAGATATCACCCCTCTGGAGAGCTGGAGACCTCCGGGGGCCAACCACCTTCTAGGGGACTGTCTTTTAGTCTCCCAGCTGCAGGGTGATTCTGTGCAACCTCTGTGGGTATCATTGATGGGAAAGTTCTCAGTTCTCAACATTCCCCCACCGCCGCTGCCCACCTGCCCCATGCGGCTCAATGTGAGGCAACTTCAGTGGGGTTACCCGAGGACCAACTCACTAGCCTCCCCTCAGCTGGGGAGAATCCCAGAGGCTGGAGTCCTTCACTAGGAGTTCGAGCTGCATAGTGAGACCCTGTACCAAATACTTAAGGAAAAAATGCTGACGGATTGCTGAGTGGACAGAAAATAAGACTGGACAGCCAGCATGTAGGTAGTCAAATTTTGGCTGTTCAACACACACACACACACACACACACACACACACACACACACACACCCCTTTTGCCTTTAAAATAATTTTATAAAGAGCGGCACAAGGTAGATTTTGTTTACCCAGCTAAACCCCACCCCTGAGAGAAGAAAACAAATTCTCTTCCTATCATCTGCTGTTTGTCCCTCCCAGGAGAGTCCACAGCTGATATAAAGCCAAGAGAAGTCGGGGCAAGATCACAACAGGAGAAACAGGTCCTGCTGTGCCTGGTCTCCTCCTCCCGTGGGAGTCAGCAGCCCCCCACCACAGGGGCAGAAGGGCATGGCCTTCCTTTCTCCATGGTGAGAGCAACGCTGGGGTCAGGGCTAAGGAAGTCTTCCTGGTGCTGTCATGGCCTTCGGGTTGACCCCAGTCCAGCCCTGCCTGCTTCCCAGGGTGTTCTTGTGATAGAAGACCTCTGTGCTGGGACGAGCTGGAGACCACCCCATCTCAGTTTGGCGGGCTGCAGTCCATGGAAACATTCCCAGGGCCCTCTGCACTGAGTTTCTTTCTTTTTTTCCTTTTTGAGACAGGGTCTCGCTCTGCAGTTCAGGCTGGTATGAACTTGTAGCCTTGTAGCCCAGGCTGGCCTTGAACTCGCAGTGACCCTCCCAAATGCTAGGATTATAGGCGTGAGCTATCATGTCCAGCCCGTATTGAGCTTCTCCCCTTAGTCACTAGGATTTCTGAGCTGTGACCTCAAGGATGAGTGATTGTGTCACATTGCAAGTGTCTATGAAACTTGCAGGTTGAGTTTGCATGCTTTGCACCTGTATGTGAATGTGTGTCTCCGTTCAGATTTGTGCTAACTCCTAAAATCTATTTTTAAAGTGCCTGTAAGAAGTTTGCGTTCCAACTCTGTATCTGTGTCATGTCCTTGGCCTCCATTGTACCCTCTCCCACACCCAAATCCTTTAAAACAGTTACCCTGGTCCCTCAGCTCCATTCCATCATGACTCTACCATATCCAGTTTTTAGACCCCAGGGAAAAGGGCAGGTATCTCGCAACTTCTTTGCTGAATTGAGAGGAAGGAGGAAGGTGCAAGTTCTAAGGATCCAGATTCATGTTATATACAGCTCCTTCTGGAGCCCGGCCACTAAGTCTCTGAGCTTGATCCATCTCCACTAGCTGAAGCGCATGGGGAAAGGCAATGAGGTATTTTAAAGACCCACTCCTAGCTTCTGAGCCCAGAGTTGAGTTCTCTTCATCCAGGGTGTCCTGGATTCTCTTTGTTTTCTTGAGGGCACCTGGGTCCTTCGAGAGGTCCTTATATCCCACCCATCCATCCACACTCCCAGAAGCCATGGTGGAGGCTGTGGGGGCTGTGGGGAAGGAGACAGGACAAGGCTGAGGCTGAGAGGGCTTTCCTCCATTCCCGCTCTCTGGCTATTGTCTCCCTCCGGGCAAGTCTGGGGGCACAGAACCAGTCTCACTCAGCGTTTGCTCACTCCCAGAGAACAGGTGGGGACCACCTTGTAAAAGTTTAGGGAAGAGATAAAGATGGGCTGAGGGTGGAACAAGGTCCTGGGAGGTCGCCAGAGTGCTGAGGAAAGAAGAAAAGCATCCCTCCTCCAGGTCACTTGGACAGCCCCTCGGGGGACTCGATTTCAGTGCTGAAGAGTTCCTTGTAGAGCGGTGGGAAGGCGGCTTGGACCACGATGGGGTGGAGGTGCTGGAAGACGTGCAGCTTTTCTACATGCTGGCTGCACAGGCTCCGCAGCTTCCCTTTGGGCGGCAGCTGGTGACGGGTTAATGCAGAAAGAAGGTCAGTACTTCAGAGCTCTCCCTAGAGCCCTTCCTGGCCTGGGATAACCCTCTTTGCTTTCTCCCTGTATGCTTGGCACTTTGGGACCCCTGAGTCTTCTGGGCAAAGCTATGTATGTGTCCAGAAGGTGACATGATAGGTGAATGGATGCTGGGTGAACAACCCCCACCCCCTTGTGTTCCTGCCACTCCTGAAACAAACCTTGTTCACAGGCCCTTTGTCTTTGCTCGTGTTTCTCCTCTCATCTGGATTGCCTCTCTGCTCTTGCTTGGCTAATTCCTACTCCAAGTGTCACTTCCTTTGGGACTATTTCCTTAAGTCCCCTACACCCTGTCTGGATTAAAGGCCCTTTCTTTGAGCTTCCCACTGCATAGCACTCACTACACTGTCAGAAAAGACTCCAGTTTCTGTCTTTCCAGGCTACGTGTGAGCCCCTGAGGTAAAGTTAACTTGTCTGCCTCTGTCTGTTCTATAGCTATTATAGCATGTGGCACATGGCAAGTGCTCAGTGACTGAACTAAACAGACTTCCTAAGCAGTTATCTAACACTACAAGTAGTAAACCAAGCCTGCCAGCTCTCAGCCAGAGGGGACATGGAAAAGACGCAGACCAAAAGCCAGGCACAGGGGTGCACACTCACAATCCCAGCTAGTCAGGAGATGAGGCAGGAGGATGCAAATTCCAGGCTATCCTGGGCAATTAATTTAGTGAGATGCTGTCTCAAAATAAAATGAAAAAAGGCATGGGCATGTAGCTCAGTGGTAGGGTTTTGTTTAGCATTCATGTGGCCCTGGGTTCAACCAATGAGCACTGCAAAGTGTGTGTGTGTGTGTGTGTGTGTGTGTGTGTGTGTGTGTGTGTGTGTGACAGAAACCCATATGGAGACAGGCAGGGACACATTACAGGACAAAGGGTGAAAACAGAAGCTATCTCTTGCAGTATTCTATATAACCGTGTGAGGCTTAAAAAATACCTCTCTACACCTGGGTGTGGTGCTGCAATCCTAGTAGTCTGGAGGCTGAGGCAAGAAGATTGTTGTAAGTTCGAGACCAGCCTGGGTTACACAGTGGGCTCAAAGCCAGCCTGAACTGCATAATGAGACTCAGTCTCAAAAAAACAAACAAACAAGCAAATAACAACAACAACAACAACCAAAACACCTCTCTCCACATATTACCTCATTCCCACAGCTTAGTTTCCTAGGAAAGAGACAGAAGAGAGCCAGAGGCATGAGGACCCCTTCATAGCTCTTGAATTCATTATTTTTTACATCTACTACTTTATTGAGGTTGTCTAATCTATTGCAATAGCTTCATTTCTTGAGTCAACAAATATTTGTAAAGAAACTATACGATTCTGGGTTGGGCAATGTGATGGACTCTGTGATGAGATAAGATCTCTACTTTTATTAAATTTATATTCTAATGAGGAAACCAGAAAATAAATACAGTTAAATGGCACACAGCAGTGCTTCAGGAAATGATGCATAGCATACATAAGATTGTAGTGTTAGCTTGCTCCAGGAGGTCACATGGCAAAGAAGCTGTCATTAAGCAACACATGACTGTATATGGTATATTAGATGAGTTCTTTACAGGAAACTAATGTAGGGTGAAGGATACAGGGATTATTGATGGAGTAACTGGTTAGGGACAATTTATTCTGAAAGGTAGAGAAAGCCATTCAGAAAACATGGTGGTGTATGCTTATAATCTCAGCAATCAGGAGGCTGAGGCTGGAGGATCAATACAAGTTCAAGGCCAGCCTGAACTGCATAGCAAAACCTTGTCTCAAAAAGACCAAAAACAAGGGCTGGTGAGATAGCTTAGCAGACTAAGTGCCTGCTTAGGCAAGCATAGGGACCAGGGTTTGATCCCTGGCACCATATGCTGCGCTGGCCCTGTCCCAGGGCACGCAGAGCCTTGACTGAGTCTGGGTGTGGTGGCGAATGCCTGTAATTCCAGCACTGGGGAGGCTGAAAATAAGATCGGTATGAGTCCAAGCTGCGTAGTGAGACCCTGTGCCACATACATTAAAAAATAAAAATTAAGGGCTGGTGAGATGGCTCAGTGGTCTAAAGCACCTACTTAGAACAAGCTTGGCAGAGCACAGGGACCGCGGTTCAATCCCCAGCACCACATGCCAGCCAGCCTGCCCCCTGGTGGGCTGAGCTGGCCACACACACACACACACACACACACACACACACACACA